TGGAGAAGCTGGTGGAGGACTGTCTCCCGGGGGAGGGACCCCGCACTGGTGCAGGGCCAGAGTGTGAGGATCCTCCCCTGAGGAGGAAGGAGCAGCAGAGCCAGCGTGTGATGGACTGACCACAACCCCCATTCCCCATCCCCCTGTGCTGCTGGTGGGGAGGAGGGGAGAGAAATGTGAAGCAAAGCTGAGCCTGGGAAGAAGGGAGGGGTTGGGAAAGGGGTTTTTTAAGATCTGGTTTTCTCTCTCATTATCCTGCTCTCATTTGATTGGTGACAAATTAAGTTGATTTTTGCCCATGTTGAGTCTGTGTTGCCCATGACCACAGTGGGTGAGCGATCCCTCCCTGTCCTTGTCTCTGCCCACCACCCTTCCCTCCTCCCCATCCCACCGGGGTGGAGTGAGCAAGCAGCTGTGTGGTGCTCAGGTACCAGCTGGACCTAAACCACAACAAAGAAACATTTCTGAAGTCTGAAAAACTCCCTGCCTTTTCCTCCCTAGACAGTTGTTCCCAGGAGCTGGCACCTTGTGGCCGTGAGCTTGCTGCTTCTCAGGATATTGCCTCAGAACTCGTCGTTCTACCTGGCAACATCTGCCTGCTCTGTGTGTGCTCGGTGTGTGCTGTGTGTGCGGTCAGTGTGTGCTCTGTGCACGCTCTGTGTGCAGTCAGTGTGTGCTCAGTGTGTGCTCTGTGCGTGCTCCGTGCATGCTCAGTGTGTGCTCTGTGCGTGCTCCGTGCATGCTCAGTGTGTGCTCTGTGCGTGCTCCGTGCATGCTCAGTGTGTGCTCTGTGCGTGCTCCGTGCATGCTCAGTGTGTGCTCTGTGCGTGCTCCGTGCATGCTCAGTGTGTGCTCTGTGCGTGCTCCGTGCATGCTCAGTGTGTGCTCTGTGCGTGCTCCGTGCATGCTCAGTGTGTGCTCTGTGCGTGCTCCGTGCATGCTCAGTGTGTGCTCTGTGCGCGCTCCATGCGTGCTCAGTGTGTGCTCTCTCTGTGCGCTCTGTGTGCACTCTGTGTGTGTTCTGTGTGTGCCCACTGTGCACTCTGTGTGTGCTCAGTGTGTGTTTAGTGTGCACTGTGTGTGCTCTGTGCGTGCTCCGTGCATGCTCAGTGTGTGCTCCATGCGTGCTCAGTGTGTGTTTAGTGTGCACTGTGTGTGCTCTGTGCGCGCGCCATGCGTGCTCAGTGTGTGTTTAGTGTGCACTGTGTGTGCTCTGTGCGCGCGCCATGCGTGCTCAGTGTGTGTTTAGTGTGCACTGTGTGTGCTCTGTGCGCGCGCCATGCGTGCTCAGTGTGTGTTTAGTGTGCACTGTGTGTGCTCTGTGCGTGCTCCATGCGTGCTCAGTGTGTGTGCTCTGTGTGTGCTTAGTGTGGACTCTGTGTGCACTCTGTGCGTGCTCCATGCGTGCTCAGTGTGTGTTCTGTGCTCAGTGTGCACTCTTGTGTGTGCTCAGTGTGTGCTCCATGCATGCTCAGTGTGTCCTGTGTGTGCTCAGCGTGTGCTCAGCGTGTGCTGAGTGTGGAAGGCCGGTGGGTGATGCTCACGCTGGTTCAGCACTGTGCGAATACCCCGCTCCAACCGCGGGAGCCAAGGAAAGGTCACTGAAAGCTCCACTCAAGACTCCGTTTTCCGGCAGTGCCCAAGAGCAGTGTTTTGTGCAAACGGAAGCTCACTTGGCGGGTGTGTAAAGCCCAACGAACTGTCACGGCCAGCCTTCACGCAGCGCCTGCGCGCAGCCTCGCCCGGTGCCTTCTCACCCTACGCACCGCAGAGGTGTTGCTGCAGCCGGGGAAGAGGACGTTGTCGCAGTTACAGTGGGATCTGCTGATGACACTTTTTAGGTGCCTCATTGGACGCTCTGTTCTGTTTGTTCCCTGCCAGTCCCGTCCGTCGCCCGCAGACAGCGAAGAGGCCCGGTCGGGCAGCAGAGACGATGGAGCTGGCACAACCGACCTGCAGAGCGACGGCGGCGTAGGTGAGCTCCTCCGCTCGATACGCCGGAGCAGGCACCCCTGGCTGGGGCGGCTCCAGGCGGCTCTTCCCAATGAAAACGATGGCCTAAATGTGCCTGCCAGAGTCAGAGCTAATTGTTCAGATTTTTAGGTGTTCTTCTCGAAAAAATGGGCCCAAGTGATGGAGCTGGCACAACCGACCTGCAGAGCGACGGCGGCGTAGGTGAGCTCCTCCGCTCGATACGCCGGAGCAGGCACCCCTGGCTGGGGCGGCTCCAGGCGGCTCTTCCCAATGAAAACGATGGCCTAAATGTGCCTGCCAGAGTCAGAGCTAATTGTTCAGATTTTTAGGTGTTCTTCTCGAAAAAATGGGCCCAAGTTTGGATAGAATCACAGAATGGTTTGGGTTGGAAGGCACCTTAAAGATCATCTAGTTCCAACCCCCCTGCCATGGGCAGGGACACCTTCCACTAGACCAGGTTGCGCCTCATCCACTCATCCAGCCTGGCCTTGGACACTTCCAGGGATGGGGCATCCACAGCTTCTCTGGGCAACCTGTCCCAGTGCCTCACCACCCTCTCTGGGAAGAATTTCTTCCTGACATCTAATCTAAACCTCCCTGTTTTCAATTGGATAGGACAGAGCCCCTGCAGTGCTACCAGCTGGGAACATCCAGAGCTGATTTTGTGATGTTTCCTGTATTGTCTGTATCTTGAAACACCTTTGTAAGAGTAAAGTTTCCCGCTCTGCGGTTGCAGAGGAAAACCATTCCGGTGTGACCCAGCGGGAGAAGGAAGCACACCCTGCTTGGTCAGGACCGAAAGGGGCAGGCAGTTGAAACTCCAGGTCCTTCAGTAACTGCCCTGTTCCAGGAAGTGGGACTTGGATACGTGGGGATGTAGAGCTTGGGTGGTGTTCGCTGTGGTCTGAGCATTGTCTCATTAATTCACTCCGTGGCTGTTCACGGGCAGATTGTTTCATAATGATCTGGTGGACGAGAAGCTGAACATGAGCCGGCCGTGTGCGCTGGCAGCCCAGAAGGCCAACCGTATCCTGGGCTGTATCCAGAGCAGCGTGGCCAGCGGGGCGAGGGAGGGGATTCTGCCCCTCTACTCTGCTCTGGTGAGACCCCACCTGGAGTGCTGCGTCCAGCTGTGGAGCCCTCAGCATCAGAAGGATATAGACCACTTGGAGCGAGTCCAGAGGAGGCCACGAAGATGCTCAGAGGGCTGGAGCCCCTCTGCTATGGGGACAGGCTGGGAGAGTTGGGCTTGTTCAGCCTGGAGAAGGGAAGGCTCCGGGGAGACCTTATAGCACCTTCCAGTGCCTGAAGGGGCTACAAGGGAGCTGGGGGGGGACTTTTTACAAGGGCAGGGATGGACAGGACAAGGGGTAACGGGTTTAACTTGACAGTGGTGAGGCTTAGATTGGATATCAGGAAGGAATTCTTCACAGAGAGGGTGGGGAGGCACCGGGACAGGTTTCCAGAGAAGCTGTGGATGCCCCATCCCTGGGAGTGTCCAAGGCCAGGCTGGATGAGGCTTGGAGCAACCTGGTCTAGTGGAAGGTGTCCCTGCCCATGGCAGGGGGGTTGGAACTAGATGATCTTTAAGGTCCCTTCCAACCCAAACCATTCCGTGAGTCTATAACAGGCATTACTGGATGACATCAAAACCACTCTGGCAAGGTGTTGTATCAAAATTCATTATCACCGTAATTAACGGACAGCCCTGAGCTGTCCGTATCAACCATCAGTAAATTAAAAGTTTCTTTCCCTCCTCTGGGGGAGCTTTGCAAATGGGGTTTGCAGCTGATAAAGCGCTGGGTTTATCAGAAAGGCTTTGGTACCTGCTGACAAAACCGGCAGCTTCCCGTGAGCCAACGCGCACGCGTTTATTTCAGATCCCGCGCTGGACACGGACATCCAGGAGCTGGCCAGCCTGACCACCAGAGACAGCGACCTGGAGAGCTTCGAAAGGCTCTTCTCAAAGCTGAAAGAAATGAAAGGTAACGTACCGGGGCCAGAGGCGCCGATCGCCTCGTCCGTGGCTCCTGGGCACGCCAGCCAGCGTGCCGGGGGAATGCTGCGAATGCCGATTCCCCTTTGGCTACAGGGGGCTGGTCGTTTCATCAGGCTGCCCTTCCTCGGGGCCGAGCTCTGGAGGGAAGGAAGTAGGTGCTGCTCGGCTGACGGCTGTCACACCAGCGCTGCCCCCGGCAACCTGCGCGGCGGTTTTCTAGACACAAACCCTTGTCCTTTAGCTGTGCTGAAGGTCCCTTTTTAGGGTCGTTAAACTAGTTTCTCGGCAGCGCCCTCAAAACCCGCTGCAATAGGCATTTCCCTGCTGACTCCTGAGGTCGACAGCCTAATTCCTGTTCTTCTCCGCAGACAAAGCGGCGACGATGCCTCACGAGCAAAGAAAACTTCACGCGGAAAAGGTGAGACCGGCATGGAAATGATGGAAAATGGGGTTTGCCTTTGGGAGCCACCGCTGCCTCGCTTGCGGAGTCCCTGTGTTCGGAGTAGAAAGCACAAAGCACGCAGTCCTGGGGAGGCTGTCTCGTATCTCCCAAGAACTGAGTAACAAACCTGGGGTTTTGAAACACCAGCAAAGGCCCTTCCCTTTCAGAATTTCAGAAATCAAGGCCCTGCAGTCACTGGGGGTGTGAGGCAGCTTCCACTTAAGTCACGATCAAGCCCTGCTCTCAAGGAAGATTTAATCATGCCTTAATTAGCACAAGTCTTGTATCCCATACGCCTCCCATGAGTTCAAATTACTGCCTCTGTTTTGCTGAAATTTCTTAATTTCTGAGAGGATTAGCATCGTACCCAGAAACCTATTAACACTGTACCCAGAAACCCGTTAACACTGTACCCAGGAACCTGGCTGCCAGCTTTAGCTGCTGCTGCTGGGTTGCTGATTTTTGGATGGTAAATGCAGGATCCTCAGTCACCCTGGGAATTTTTCTCCCTTCCCTACCCTTTTTCCCACGCTCAGGTGGCCAAAGCATTCTGGATGGCAATTGGAGGCGACAGAGATGAGATTGAAGGTCTCTCCTCGGATGAAGAAAACTGAGTTCTGCTGTAAGCGCGGGAGCAGCCCCCAGCGAGCGTGTCCTGCAGCAGGGGCGCGTTGTGCATCGCCCCCTCGCCTGGTGGAGGGGGTTCCCCGCGCCCCTGTAGGAACACATTCCGCAGCCCCCGACGGCTGCCTGTCCGACTGCTCACCGAGTCTCTCCCACGGAGGCTTGGCAGGAAACCCGACGTAGTTTGCATTTGCCAGGTGAACGTGTGCATTGTTTCCTCTCTGGAGTTGAAATAAACCCGTTTACCACCAGTTAACTCTCCCTACGGCTGGGGGTGGGGGTGTGACGACCTAATCCTAAACCCGGCGTTTTAGGTGTCGGCCTGCGCGATGTTCTCTCACAGCCCCGGAGCTGGCTCACCGCATCCAACCACCCGGGTTTATCCGAGCCACCAAGGGGAAGCTGCTGAGTAGGGTCGTGGGACGCTGTGCCCAGGCTCCGGGGTTAACCCTGCCAAGCGCCAAAGCCGTTCAGAACGGCCCGCGGGCTCCGAATTCTGGGCCCGTGCGTACCTGCTCCCTCCCTGGGGAGTCGGGTGCTGTGCCACGCGCCCTGGGTTTCCGTTAGAACCTGAAACCGGGGTTGAGCGTGAGACAGGTTTTTGCTGCTCTTCCAGGGGTGAAGTTCCTGCTCAGACCTGTGCCCCTCGGCCTCCGAGGTCCAGGAAAAGGCACAGGCCTGCCGGCGGATTTTCCCGCATCCCGGAGAAGAGCTGCGGTTCGGAAACCCCACGGGGCGCGCGTGCTGCAGACGTACGCCCGCGTGCTCCGTAGAAGGGAGCAGAGGACAAGTCTCACATCGCCACTTCACAGCGTCAGGGGTGTGGAAAAATTTGTCCTTAGATTCCGTACTGTCACCTTGGGTGCCATCAGTCTCCCTGGAGAGCAGACGCTCGGAAGGCACTAGGAAAACGAGGGAGAGAGAAGGGGAGAGGTGAACGTCATCCCGTCTCCGTTGCGGCTCCCAGCGGTTGTCAGAGGCAGCCGGCGGATGGATGGGAAGAGCGAACCAGCAGCTGGCCTGCAGGGAACGAGGCCTCTGGCGCTGCGCTGGCACCCCCTGTGAAACGGCCTGTGCTTTCCCCGCGCGTTCCCGGATCAGTCTCACCCGGTGCTGAGCGATCCTGGTTAGAAGGTCTGATTCCAGTGCCTCTTTTTCCGGGTCAGTGACTTTCCTGGGTCTCCAGACGGTGGCTTGCTGCAACACAGCCAAACGTGCTGCGCTCTTCCTGGGCCTAGCAGGCGTTTCCTTGCGTTACCGCCTCAGGAATGGGGTGTTCCGTCAGTTAGGAAGAGGGAATGTTACTTGCATGCCGTATCACCTGCCTAAACAGAAATGGGTTACTCTGAGAGCATTTTGGACTTGTGGAAACTTTGTCCTCAACACCCACAATCAGTAAATCATAGCGAAAAAGCTTTTAGCCGGCGAGGGAGGTTTCTATCCTTCGCTTTGCAAGGTGGGCGCTGGGGTTTTTTGGGCTAAGGCGTTGAGATTTTCCTGTGTTACCAAGCCTGTCCTTGGCTTCAGCTTCCCCTTTTCAGCGCAGATGGGAAGACGGTGACATCCACCACCCGTTCGGGTGACAACTGGCAGAACTCGGAGCTCGGGCCCTGCATCGCGCTCGAGTTTTGGCAACCCCAGTACAAAACCTGGATGAGACTCTTATTACCACGTTGTTGGAAAACTGAGTGGAAAAATCATTCTCGTAAATCCTCTGTCAGGAAAAACAACGTCGACAGGGAAAGAATAAACTGAACTGCAGAGAAACCCTAGGAGGAACGTAGGGATTCACAGGACGAGGGCAGGCTGGGAGCCTGCCCTCCGAGGCCAGCCGAGCGCCAGCAGCACAGCACGCGACCCAACCACCCGCCTTCTCTTTTTTACACCTGGCTCCAGATTCCCGAGCAAAACCGGCCAAGCCGAAAGCAGAATGCAGCTCTTACCCCTGACGGAGGTCCCGGGCAGTCACTGGGGGCAACCTCTGTTACACGCACCGAAAGACGCTGCCGTCTCAGAATTATCTGTGGATTCAAAACTCCAAACGCTTTTGCTTTGTGTCCCTGCGTATATTGTTACAATATCCTTCTTTTCTCAGTTTTCAAATCAAAAGTTTATTAAAATGTCAAAAATAGAACTTACAGTCTCACGTATGAAATCCGAGGGCGTACATGGTACAGGCCTTTAGCAACCAAGGGGGTGGATAATGTGTAAGGAGCTAAAGCAGGTGGGCGCCGTCGCCGGGCAGTAACATACAACCTCAGGGTAAGAAAATCTAAGCACTACTGCGAACATGCTCATATATGTCTATCAGCGGGGCAATAGGTCAGTCCAGCGCGACGGGCGGCCTCGCCGGGGGCGGCAGCAGGGAGGGGTGCAGCCTACTCCAGCGTCCACGCACCGGAGGAGACGCACGATGAACCACAGCGTTTGGGGAGCAGTGAGCCACCGTCTCCTTCCAGCCTCCCACATGTGAAAGGGCACGAAGAGCACAGTTCAAGGGCCCCTCTGGGAACCTGGCGTGTCGCTACCCGGCGGAACAGCAGCTCGGGCGCCGGCTCCTGCGGCACACGTCCCTGTTCCGTTGTGTTTGCCGGGGCTGCTGCTCACACCGGGGTGAGACTCTTGTCCCCACGTCAGTGACTGCCTCGTTTCTAGCCATCCCCAGAAAGGCACACGAAAGATGTAATACTCTGGATTCTTAACTGCCCTTTCTGTTAAAAATTAAATATTTGATTCATCTGAATAGTCAAGAAAACAACATAAATACAAAAGCATGTACATAATAAACCCATATAGTGAATTTCTTAACCATTCCGCTCCATCAGCTACTGTCAAGCGACACATCGTTTCTCGTTCTAGCCGACCGGCTTAGTCATGAAATTCCGTTCCTCCTGCCTACCCCGTGCCCTCGAGAGCCAGGAAAGCTCGCAGGGGCCTCGTCATGCGGCTGAAGTCCTGCGCCGAGCTGCGGCCTCCCACTTTTCCCGATCAGCATGTAGCACAGGCCATGGCGGCCAAGAGCTGCCGCTCGAGACAGCATCCCGAATATTCCTGACGCTGCAGGGGAGCCCTGCCTGGTCCGAGGTCTGGTGATCCTTAAGGGGACTGGAAACTAACGGGTTTATCTCTTTCCCAAAGGTTACCCCCTGCCTTTCCCTGGCATAAACGGGTAAGCAGAGCTCTGGGGAGTGCCGTGACGAGGTCTCTCCTCCCTTGTGCGCCCGCCAACGCCCGGCAGTTGGAGCAGACGGACAGCGCTGGGTTACTGCTAGGACAGACTTCGCATGGAGTACAAACCGCAATCCGGTTCAGTACGTTAAGAATAATTAAACCCCCAAAAATCACCAGAGTCATTTAAAACCACAAGGCCATCAGTATCATCTGCCAGCAGCCAGGCCCTTGTGTTGGCTACGCCAATTAAAAAGAGTCGAAGTTCCTGCTAGTGACTCTCTACTAGTAACAGAAATGTGCGAAATCCTGGTGAAACGAGCCAAAACGACTGTTCAAGCAGAAGATACTCCAGTACGATACGCAACCTCAGCAGGGCGGGGCTGATTACCTCCGTCACATCAAAGCTACTTTAACGACGCGTTAGAGAAACCCCCAAACGAAGCCGCCACGTGCCCGTCTGGGGCAGCGCTGCCGCCCCACAGCTCAGGGCCCCCAGCCCGGGGGGGCGTCCATGGGGACGGCACGGTTCGCATCTGACCCGCGTTCATCTCAGCTGGGCAACATCAAAGGAGCTGGGCCGCGAGGTCCCTCGGATCTCACCCCTTCCCAACCCTCGTCTTCGCCGCACGGTACAGGGCTTCCCCGCGGACTTCACAAGGCAAATGTAGACACCGTAAGGCTTTCGGGAAGCAGGAGGGAAGCAAACAAAGGGGAGGAGAGGGAACCAGTCCTTCAGTGGAGATAATCTTCCCACTTGCCCGTCGGCACCGCTGGACCCGCTTACATTTTCCACGTGAAGCCATTCGACTTGATGGGGTGAGACCAAGCGAGGATTTTACGCACCATCTGAATCCTGTTCTGCAAAAGGCGTCTGTTCCTTACGGCTCGCAGGTCATTATCCTTTGCCAGGCAGAAAACACAAATCTGGTCGGTCGCGGAAATCCAGGTCCAGTTTTAGTTTGGCTGAGGAGTGGATTCTGTGAGCAGACCTCAGGCTTTATTCCAGCTCGCAGCCTCTGGGTCAGGCCGGGCTCCTGCACGCGCCCTCACGTGGAATGAACGCTCCGACACTGGAATTCAAGATGCCATTTTTGCTGCTAATGCCCAGGGCACCACGGAGTCCAACCTCCCCTGCAGGCATCTGGACAGGGAAACCAGTCTGTTTGCTGAAGTCAGCAACAGGACTTGGAGAAACTCCGGGAGGAAATCTGGGGGTGTTGTACGGAGCAGCTGTTCTCCCTCTCTTGCTAAACCACCACGTCAGGTACTTCCACAAAAGTCAGGAGCAGATCCGTGTCTGCAGCTGCGTTAGAACCCTGGGTCTGAACGTACGTGCCGGGGCAGTCCCCAGCGACCGACACACCTACTTCAGGTGGCTCGGAAACACCGTTTTGCACAGCCGCTCCCGCTGCGCAAGTCCACGCGCTCGGCGGTTGGACCGAAGTCAGGCACACAGATCTCGCACAAAACTGAACGCTCTAGGAACCCTCCAGCGCGGTGACCCCAGCCGCAACGCACAGCCAAAGCTCCAGCCACGCTTCCGCCAGAGGATCTTCAGCCGCCCCTGTGCCGTTCGGGAGCGCATCCACCACTGACCGGCTGCCTCAGGGCTGAAATTCCATCGGCAAAAGATCGTTGCCTGTTTCTGGAAGGAAACACACAGCATCCTGTCGTTCGCCCGGTAAACAAGCAGTGAGCCTTTTGGGTCGTCTGTTCCCGTGCCCATGGGACAAAGGGCACCCCGTACCCGGTCTCACCGACGCCTCGGGTCCAGAGGTGTCGGCTGGCGGCAAACGGAGCGGTGGGGTGGATAACCAGG